TATATATAAAAACCTCTTATGAGATCAGCAGCAAGGCTTTGAGAGAATACGGGACATAAGTACTGTATTTGCATCCTTATCCCCTGTCAGCAAAAGGAAGTATTATAAGCATTGAGTCTGAGAAAGGCGTTACCCTGAATATCTCAAAAGACGTATCCTTTTTATGTTTCTGAACCACTACCACTGCCAAAGACATGGCAGAAAGAAAATACAGGAACAGTCAAAAAGAGGCCAAACTAGTACAACATTTTATTAACATGTTTCTGATTATGATTGCATCAGATCTCTTAGAGAAAGACGCACTTAAAGATTAACTTGTTAATAGAAGTTGCTTTCTCATCCGTATTAGTCAGTGGCTGGGTTACATACTCGGCATTATTGTTTTTATCCCCTTTCAAAACAGGAAGTAACCAGAGGTTTAAAAGGTTTCTTAAAGGATATGAAGAGATTTTTAAAAGTTCATCTTTCAAGGCAGTTGACAAATTCAAAATACAAAACCAACGTGCTCAAAAACAAAGAAAGGAAAAAGAGTTTCCTATTCCCCTAGTTCAAAAAAGCACCACTTTTTACACTTTCAAGGAACATCCAAGACATTTCCATTGCAGCTAGAGAAAGATGAAGCAAAGCAGACCTCCTGAATCAGAGAATATGCCTATTACTCACTTGGATGTGGGTCACTTTAAAGTTAACAGCCTGGACTTTGAGAAAAATCTGTTGTTCAGCATGGATTCTTCATTAGTTTCCTTGATGCCCATTGGGTAACCAGACAGAACTCAACTGGACATTCTACTTCTGGTCATTCCTGGATATTCTGGTCAAGCTTCACTTCTGTTGTGAAGGAAATAAGAATAATCCCAAAGATCCAGGGCCCTTGCTTGTGCTACATCTTCTTCAGGATCATTTGGTTTGATTCTTAGGCCAAATTTTAAAGACTACATACAGCTACCCACCTTAATGCATTTTCTACACAGATATAAAAATCTTCAGCTGAGAATTCTGGAGAGTCAAAAATAGAAATAAAAAACCAAGTCTGTACCAAGCTTCCCAGTTCTCATTATTTCCAAAGCTATTCCTCAGACTCCATGTCTTCTACAGACAAAACTGCTGAGTTGAACAATTAACTATTCTTAGCCAATTAATTTATTAAGCATTCCATGTGGAGCCCTTCTAAAATTGTTAGTGCAGCTAAGTTACTGATAGACAGTATCAGTAACTTATCTGTGCATTTAGTTAACTCTAAAAAGAAACTGTATTCCTGCAAAGAGGTATCTTTTGAAAGGAAAACACAATTATTACCTGATTTCCAATGCCTTAATTCAATAAAGGCTTTGGTTTTGCATTTTATCAAGGGAATTTGTATTTCTGATCATTATTCTAATGTAGTAACATCTACTGCCAGTTTGCTTTAAAACACCAAATCTTTATTCTGATGAAAAAGTCTTCACTTATGAAGAGTTATGGGAGACTACTAATCCAAAAGACAAAATCGTAAGATTTCAAGGATGTATCTGAAAGTCATTTTGTTACTCAGATTAGCACCAAAGAGAGAATGAAACCGAACTTTAACACCTTTAACACCTTTAAGGACCTATTGAGAATTAAATTTAATTCCTAAACTAAAAGGAACATGTAAATTGTTTCAGATTAGGTACAGTTTATACTTTTTTTTAAAAAAAAAAAATAAAACACTGATGGAAACACCACTTAGTACAGAATCCAGTCATCTTCAACTACACCAAGTTTCTGTCATAGCTTCCAAAATAATACACCAAAGAGAACTATTACTTTCCAGGTACTGAAAAATATGGGTGAGAGCCAAATACTATATTTAGTCACCTCTATTCAAATAAGTATCAGTTAAAGTTTCAGTGCAAATTCACTTCAGAATTCCTGTTCAGAATTAATCTAGTTTGGCATCAAAGCTTTCTACTAATTTAGTGTAAGTTTATTTTTTACGGAAATAAATAAAAACAGTACATCACAAAGCAACTGACCTAAGTCTTTCATTAGATTATTAAATTACAATCACCAATCTACAAAACATAAACAGTCTGCTTGTATATTTTAAAGAATCCTAGTTTTCATACCCATGAACAAAATGTAATCTTATACTGTTCCCTGGAGCACGCTCTCGTCTCTTAGAAGCTGCACTTTTTCTTTTTTCTTTGCATTGCTCTTTAAGTTGAGGTAGATCTTCTTTGTAAACCTTTAAGAAAGAGCACACTTATAAATTCAGAGATTCACAAGAGAAGCATGTTTCTGAGAATTCAGACATCACCCACAAAAATGTTATTCTGACATCACTGAAAAAAATCTCCGATAACTGTAGCCGGTTATTGTATAATGTAACTTGCTTTTAAATTACAACCAAAACTCTAATGGAACATGCTAGGAATACATGTAATCGCTTTTTTTTTCTCCATTGTATCTTAATATTTTGAATGCATCAAATAATTAGAATTCTAAAGGTTTTGGTCCTGCTCAGCTCTCAGTCTCCTCAGTTTTCAGATTTCAACAGGTCTCCATAAAAGACCAACATAAACCCTGTGAAGCATTCCAAATGCCATTAAAACTAAAATCTTTACCTGTCGACGATAGGTGATCTGTGTCTCTTGTTCAATTTCAGAGTCCAGCTCTGGAACATCAGACTGATCCGAATCTGATTCATCACTATTAGAATCAACCAGACTCTCTGCCACCAAGAAAACAGAAACAGAAAATGAAGCAACCTAAAGTACAAGCCAGAAAGTGTTTAAACTAACTACTTAATGTTTCTTATTTGGTAATCAATGCTCATATTAACTACAACATAAACTGCTAATAAATGACAGGCTGACAGGATCAATTCTGCTAATACAGTAGATATAAGTCAATTTATAAGTATGGTAATTCTTTTTGTTTTGTTTTTGGGAGTGAGTTAACTGTCACTCATTAAAATTACTTCATCATAATCATGTTAGGAGGAAAGGAATAAAGAAGAGAACGAAGTAATGAGTATAAAGCAGAAACTAAGATTTGCAGAAAACTAACAAGAGAAGTAAAGAGCTCCAAAGAGAAACTTGTGGTTAGGTGAGCAGCAATTTTTCAGGCAGATTAGGAAAAAAACTCAAAACATGTACAGGAAGAAAGTGGTAACATTTTTGATGACTGTGAAGAAAAAGAGTAGTCATTTAATGTTTCGGTTTTACAGCTGGGGAAAGTCAGATAACGTTGTCGCACAGAGCTTCATTCCAACAGAAACTGAAAAGAATTTCCTGGTTGATAAATGATAATATATTTAGATCTTTCTGCAACCTTTGATTTAATGTTACAAATTTTTTTATCAAGAAACCAGACACAAAATTAGTCTAGAACACAAATGGATTTTAAAAGATCTCAAAATGTAATTGCAAAGAGAGAATCGCCAGTTAGTAAGAAATGTTTCTAGAAATATGCAATAAAGAGCAATCTTTGGAACTATACTACTTCACATTTTTATCAGTGATCTGGAGAAAAACAATATTGTACCAACAAAGGTAGCAGATTAGAGAGTTAGAAAAGCCATTAACAGGACAATTATCAAGTGTGACAAAACAGATCTATGTTGCACATACTGTCAGACAGGTTATATATCCATGAACAAGGAATCTAAACAATATTTACTATATTGAAATTTTATCTTGGGAAGCAGTAGCTAATGATAAATTTGGGTCATGGAACATAATTACTTGAAAACTAATCCATATCATGAAGGATCAAACCAGATAAAGGCTTTTTGGAGGCTTCATCAAGGAGATAAAGAGAACTATTGCTTCTTTCTACATTTGGCATTGACAAGGCTAGCACCAAATCAGCATTCATCTACCTATTAGCTGGGTCCACACTGATACATATTCATCTGATCTTAGCAATTAAAGGGTGAAACAGCCTATTTCATTGTAATTCTATATACTTATTTCCCCAAAGGACTCTTTAAATTCCTTTAGGAATTTCCAAGTGAAGCACTCAGTTAATTGTTTGCTTTTGGGAAACTCAGTCATGAGAATAATTGCTGTATTAGTCACCGTTGGAAACATGATCTACATTTTTTCCCAAGCATTAAACACCTACAGTCTGCTTTAAAACAAACAAAAGCATTACAATGCTTAAATTAGCATCTAAATACTTCAAAATTTTAATTTAATGAGTATATACATCTTTTTATTTCCAGTGACATCTGGGCATCCAGTTGTTGTCAATGTAGTAAAGGATGATATGTATAGAATTCATAAATTCGTATCTAGGATCCGAACTTTTAAATTTTCCCTTTGCACAGGGAACACAGCGGTGGATTTTTTCACAATCTTGCTAGACTGAGCATGCAGGGTACAGGCAAGTATTAGGCAATGCGATCAGGTACTTCAGGCAGCTGCAAAGTTTAAAGAACAAGAATTTTATGCGGAGTGACAACTCTGAGTATTTATTTTCACTTGCACCAAATAATTTTACTTCTCCTTTAGCCTATCCTCCTCCCACCCTTATTTTTTTTAATAAGTTACTTACCTTGGGGTGCTATATGAAGAGAATCCTTCAACTTCCGGTCAGGGACAAATTTCCACTGAAAGACAGAATGATCAGCTCCCCCAATGGAAACAACCCACTGGTGATCATGTGACCATCTGACATTTGTCACGTGAGCAGAATGACCAAGATATTTTTTAAACTTTGCTCCTAGGACAGTAATAAAAATCTCTTTCAATATATGTGGAATAAATGTTTCAGAAGCACCTTAGGAAAACACATCAAGGAACCTTTATAAACAGTAATACAATTTATTTAAAATCTTCTAATTACTAGTGATATTTTAATTACTAGTGATATTTTAATTAACAGCAGCAACTTTTTGCAGTATTCCCAAATTCTAATCTGTTTTTAAGATAAATTTTTTAATCTGGATTCCAGGATATAATATCTTTAACAAGTCAAACACAAAGAGAGAAGAAATATGATAGTGCTGTATGAGGTGTACTAACAGAAGATTTTTTAAAATTTTATTGTATTTATTTTATTTTTTACAAATCAAGATTTTGCCAATTATTATTTCTACACTGAAAAGATGCAGTGATGTAAATGTTAAATGACGTGTATATTTAGCTCTGTGAAAGCACCTCCATATGTGCGCTCGTAGCACTGGTTCCCACTGTTTGTGCAATTTGAGCGCTAAGCACTTCTAGCAATTCATATCCCAACACCTTTAGCAGTAGTATAACTACATCAATTAATGTTTTCACTGACTACTACATAATTACAACACAATCACTGGATCAGTTACAGCACTCCATTATACAGTTTCTTGTGCCTTTTCTTTAGTTTTGTAATTCTAGTGCAAAACGGGATAAAAAGGGAATAAATTCAGTCTCCTTCAAACGGACAGAAGACTGCCTTCAAGAATGTATTTTTGGATTACCTCAGGTACCAATAAAGCCTTATCACTTTAAAAATAAAACCGGAAAGATTGAAATAAAGTGTTTTTTAATATCACCTGTTACATAAAGAGTTGAAAAAACTATGGGGGAATATCAGTCTTTTTAAAAAAATAAAAACAAAAAATCATTTCTTTAAGCACTTATTGGAAGACATATCCGAAGATCCGTCACAAATATCATGCAGATGTAGCTAGCATTAAATATGCAATGCTGCAAATTGCAATGATGCAACAGTGCAACTTTTTGTTTCCCCTTTAAAAACTTAAGAGATTTGATCTAGTCCCCAGGCAAACTTTTTATGCTAAGAGGACTCTTCTTAAAAGCTAGGGAACATTTCACAGGCTTTCCCTGATCATCATTATGTTACCAGCTTGAAGACAGAGCTCTCTGCTATTGATAATTTGTTACAGTTCAACCTGAATGGCATCTAGAATGGAGTTCTGCAAACAGCTCTGAAAAAATGAAGCTTTTCTCATCTAAAAAGATACACATCTCTCCCCTGTTCACTCAGTCCTGAACAGTAAACGCGAAAATTATACACCTAGCTTTAGGCTTCAGGTTTAAAAAATTAATGAGATTTGACTTTATTGCTAGTGAAGTTTTGAGGAAAAATATGTTGGAAAAGTTTTTAAACTTCAAACAACATACAGTGGCGTGCTCTGATTACAGGACCAATTTGCTGTTCACTTTTTTTTGCCTCTAAACATTTAGTAAAGTTATTTTTTCTAGTTCCTAGCCCAAATCTCCATCACAGATCCAGAGGAAGGAAGAAAACTACTTGAGGACCAAGGTAAAAATACATAAAGATATGTATCTCATAAAAGGGTAGATATTGCATCACCTCATGAAATTCTATAACAATAATAATAAAAAAGAACTATTTTACAAAACAAAATATATGTAAAACTTTTGGCTATCCTATTCAAAATGCAAATAAAATAATGTTACTATTAAGAGTTCCTAACACACCAGCCTATTACTGTTTTCCACCTTTAAGGTCAAACTAAACTTCTAAGAATAAATATTGGCCATTTATGTAATTTTCAAAAATGTCATTTTCTAAAACCTTTTTCCTGAATAACCAAAATTCAAAAATATAGGTTTATAACTGAACTTAAAGGTACTACCTCTTCTTAGACATGGGTATCGAAAGAGCTTTACTATTCCATAATCATCAGCTGTAACCATAACTTGCCCAATAAAATTTGCATCCACAGAATTTATATCATTTACATCTGAATATTTGGGCCAGATTCCATTAACTTCAAGGCCAGAAACACAGGTCCATGATGCCCACTGAATGCCTTTTAATTCCTCCTTGTTTGTTACTTCTTTTCCACCTAAGAACAAAAATAAAGAGCTATTTTTAAATATTCAAATCCAAGTGAGACAGAATTTAAAAATTACTTCTAAAACTATCCCAATCTAATATTCTCTACTATGACTAGCAGTATCAGCAGTAAGGTTTCTCAAGACTATTTAACAGAAGATCATGGGTTTGGTACTTCACAGTTTTTATTATTTCATGATATCTGCTTGAGGCTGTGTTATTTTCACAGAATCACAGAATTGGTTTGGTTGGAAGAGACCTCTGGGATCATCAAGTCCAACCTTAGCCCTAACACCGCCATGTCAACTAGACCATGGCACTAAGTGCCACATCCAGTCTTTTCTTAAACACCTCTAGAGATGGTGACTCCACCACCTCCCTGGGCAGCCCATTCCAATGCCTATATTTTTTAATGTTTATCAAAAAAACATGTAGCCATTCTAAGATAAAGTTTGGAATAATTCTGTTATTGGACTATTCTAGAATCCTGGATTATTTAGAGCAAAACCTGAAGAACTCATTTAGATCTGGTCACTGTAATTTACTGAGAATACCAATTTTATGCTTAGATCCTTATTACATTATTTCACATCAACTCTATCTGTAATAAGATTGTTCCAATCCCACAAAGTTTCATGTAAGAGCTTAAGTACTGAGTCAGACCAAAGGCCCATTTAATAGATACTGTATCCTCAGGAACGACCAGAAGCAGAGTGCAGGAGCAACGCACAAGAACAATGCAAGCAAATGTAAAAGTTGTGAGTCAGACTGAGTGTGCGCAACTGCAGAACCTGAGCAGGACACTGCCAACAATTCACCTCTCAGTCTTCAGTGGTAAACAAAATTGAAGGCAACCAGGCTGGGTATCTTCCTGTTTTCTCACTGTTAATAGGATTCTGACCAGTGGGAGGTGAGGGTATGGGATGTAAGGGGGAGCAGCTTCAGGTACTGTAAGGAGGTAAGTTTTCTATACAGAGATAGGGCAAGGGAGAACTCAAGTGGACTGGACTAAACAGAGTAAAGAAGAGCAATAGAGAAGAGATAAAGCAAAATGGCAAACAAATCAAAGAGGAAGAAAAAAAAAACAAACCACAAATCACACTCGAGGAAAAGTTTAACTACTACATACTGCTCCAAAAACTAGAAAGGAATTCAAGTGCCCTGTTTGAAGATACTTCAGCTCTGATGAATTAACTGCACCCTTTGACAAGGTTTACCTTGTAATCTCTTTCAATCACTAATCCATGTAAACAATGACTACTAATACTGGTTATATCCTTGACTAAGTCCTACAGATCTTGTATTAGGCAACTGTAAGTTCCATTTATAGTGGAATTTCAAGTGTTATATGATTCCGATCATTGTTTTGAAATATTCAGGAGATTTCTCTAACTTCACTGACTTTGTTAAACTTTTTTCATAAATGAGCTTTCACAATCCCACATTCTAATATATCAAGAAACTCCAGGCTGAAAGCTGGCTATACAACTTCAAATTGTTCCTCCTGTGTGTACATATTTGTTACAGTCTAATTAAATTCTCACTTACTATCTTTTCTTACATTTCTTGTATCTCATACAGTGCACAAAATCAAGCTTGTGCATAGAATGAATCAGACGCTTCAGCAAACAGAGTCATAAAAAGCTCCATAGAACTATGAATAATGTACAGTGCAAAGCCTAAGTATTGTATAACAAATGAAGGGACAATATAGTAAGCGGTGATGATAATAAATACTTGCCACAAATACGCTGAGTGGGAAAAATATAGTGGTATTATGTAAACAGTGTATATACACAGAAGAAACAAGTCAAACCTTGTGACAAACACTGCCCTTGACATATTGTAATTAGGACTACTTAAATTTGAAGTTTTAAAATATACGTACTATGTGACTACGTCCTCTGCAGAGGGAATTGTCTTGATAAAAACTGTTTCAAAACTATGGGACAGTTCAGTTAAGTTTTCAAGACGGCGTCGCCTTGAAAATATTTACAATAATGGGGTTGTCCCAAACTTTGATTCTGAAAACTACATTTTAATATTATGTAATATACTAATTTTCTTTAATAGTCCCCTGCTATAAAAGAGAGAAGACATATTTGAACTTGCGTTTTCAATAGACTGCTCAGTTAAATTCCATTTTGATACTTTTACTCATTTTGAAGATTGCGTGATTGAGTCATGTATGCATCACAGCTTCAATACTTCTTTTGTTTCCAGTGAGTAATTCCTAACATTGTGACATCCTTGTATCAGGTACTCTTATTTTCTCTACAGTGACCCAATTTCATTACACTTCCAAATTAATCTGCATTCTGATTGTTTCTATCTATTACAAATTTCTTACTGTAATAACTCTTTAAATTCCTCAGTTCCACTGCAAACATAGTTCTAGAAAACCAGATGACTCCTCTGAGATGCAACCTATTGATTTTTACAGCACAAGCAAATGGTAATCCATTTAATATCCAAGCTCAATAAGCACAAAGCTATTAAGCCACTGCAAAATTGAATTTTAATGCAATATTTTTCTTTTTCTGAAAAAGTGGGAGCAAAGATTTAGTTTTGAGAAATAAAATAAATTATAAGCCAGTATCTCTACCATGAAAAGATGCATTATAAAGAGTAAACATATAAGGATAAAAATATTTAACTAACTTTGCCAGAAAACACTGTACTTAGCCAAATACAGCAAATATTTATACAAACTAAGGAAAAAATTTCCCTATAATCCCATGCTTTGAACCAGGATCTATACTTGGCTGAAAACTACTATACATTCTTTCTGTAATAAGTAACAATTATCATAAAGGCAACTCAGAATCTTACCTGGCATTCTGTAAAAAAGTCTCTTCCCATTGCCATCATTGGTCTGCAAGTATTTACTGTCCGAAGACCAATCCATATGGGTGATGAAACTTAAAGATCCAATACATTCCCCAACTTTCTTATATCGTTGAACAACACCATATATATCCACAGAGCTGTCATTGGAACCAACAGCCAGGAAATTTCCATCTGGTGAATATTTCAGTTCATGAATAGCTTCTTTCCTGTCTTTGATATGAACAACCTCAGTCATATCTCTGTAGTATGAAAGAAAGCATGTCATAAGTATAGAGCAGCCTTATACTGTCAATTCCCAGTTTTAAAAAATGGACAAAATTGTGAAATGATGAAGTGAACTTTACTATCATATGTGCAAACACAATGCTGCTATTTTTAGAGTTGGGTAGGGCTTCATGGCCCAAAAAAGAGAAGGTAACAGTGACACAAAAAGGTGCTGCACCGAGCTGAGAGAGAGCAAACAAAAGGAACTGTTCAAGCTGGGTCCACAAAAAAAATTAATCAGGTGTATTACCAGTTACTTGTTCACTCAGGGAAGAAAACTTCACTGACATAAGACACAGATCTCATCTTCCCTTTAAAGCTGTGGGATCACAGCAACAAGGCAGCACTGTTTTTGTACGCATGATGCGCTGACAGCAGCATTCCAATACATGGAAACAATTTAGGAAGTAATCAAAATTTACTTCTTAATAATTCAATAATAATTAATAAAGCTAAAACTTGAAGTAAAACACTTCCTAGAACATTGCCATCCTTTGCAAATAGACCAATATACTTTTTCAAATGTGTTGTTATGGAACAACATGAACACATGTAGCACACACAACTTAAAAAATCTGAGCACCCTCAAGATCAGTAATTTAAAACAGAAATGCAACTCATCTCCTCATGTATGGTCACTACAACACACGTCAATATACATACAATTTACAAAAGTAATTAGGTAACATGCTTGAAAGAGCTAATAACGTATCTATTTTTAATTTTTGCAACATACCTGACTCGAAGCACAGTGAAAGAGCCATCCTTCATTCCAAGAGCGAGATGGATTCCATCAGTACTAACTGCGGCACAGCGAATGGGTTCCTCCATATTGCACCGCGCAATCAGAGCATGGTCTATTAAACTCCAAATTCTAAAATAAAGTAAGAATTATAAATGTAAGGAGTGGTTTGTAGCTGTGTCACAGATAGCATGAAGCCTGCAATTTCTGCAGAATGCCAGATATGGTAGCATTCCTTTTTAAAATAATTTTCCACAAGGAAAATCTAAGACAAAGGTGTGACTTTTTCATACACCAAAGAATATTCTTATATTTAAAATAGCAAAAAATATCTAATGAGAAAATGCAGGGGCAGATTAATTTTCTTTGACTTTCTGAATACAAAAAGAATGACAACATAAACTTTTAGACCACTCTGTGAAAATTCCACTATGTTGCTAATCATTTTAGCCAAGAAGAACATTAAAGAACAATTAAAGACTTTGTTCATTAAACATATCCTCTCCTATTAACAAGCCATTATTAGTGACTCCTTACATACAACTAGAAAACATTATAACATGTAAGTTTTTACTTAGAGATACCTTACAACAGCTATCATTTACAAGATATACCTGGAAATCTAGAGCATTATTTCAGTATTCATAACTCAACTACCGTTTTGCTTAACCACATTACACTTAAGATATTTAATAAAAATGCCAACACATTTAATTTCTAAGACATAAAAGAAAAGGTGTTTCTGCCAAAAAAAGATGAACTTGTAAAAGAGTAATTTACTGGATTTTCTCAGAATATAGGTTTTATTTACTATGAATGCATTAAGTTTGATGAAACTCCCAAGCTAAAAGTTAATTCGCAGCATGTAAGAAAATGAAGATGGTAAGAGTAAAAACTGTAAGTTTTTATTACAATTTTTTTCATTGTGAAATTTGAAAAAATTTTCATTCATTTTGTGAATGTCTAAAGTAACTCTTGAAAAGGAAACACAGGATACTTGTGTATGAGTGCTTAATGTTAGGTTAAATGAAATTTGTTCAAATTTTGTACATTTCATTTTTGTGAAATACACATTTCCACTGTATTTTATTACTGGAGAGCACTAATTTCATGCATAACTTAGCTGGTTCAGAAGCACTTCAATGTCACATTTTAATACCTTTAAAATGTATACATTTCTATTAGGTTATGTACAAAATGAGCTATTTGTATAAAACTACATGCAGTGAAGTAACAAACAAACACAATTTAACCTGACTGATCGATCATCACTTCCAGTCATTGCTAGTGGTTTTGTAGGATGGACAGCCAAAGCCCACAACTCTCCTTCACAGTGCCCCTGCATTATCAGGAAAGGCTTATTACGCTCATGCACCACAATTTCAAAAATTTCACTGTCTTGTGTCCCAACGAGTATATGGTCTCCTCTCCAGCAAACACTTCTTACAGACAGACCTGTAGAAGAGATTGTTACTGAGAGATTCATCCTGAGAATTTGTGAAACAAAGGTAACATAGCACATGGCAAAACATAAAAGTAAGAAGTATCCATATACCTTCTCTTATTCCTCCCTTTACTCCTTTTATCCATTCCATATAACACATACTGCCCTTGGAATGTTAATTTTTCAAACTCAGTGTTACAAAAATTCTAAAATAAAATGTGAACCTTATTTTAATAAAGGACTTGTAGCCAATTCTTGTATTACAAGATTTCTGACAGAGAAAGATAATATTGACATTTGCATCTGAAATTATGCATTTAACGTCTTTAAATTTCAAGAAAGGTAGCAGACACCATAAATTACAATTCCTGATCAAACCGCTGACCTTAGTACTAGCTAGATGAACCTAAATTATAGAAGTGACAGAAGCATCAGTGGAACATGCATTATATGTAATATAATCAAAGAGCCCAATTCTCCCCAGCTTGTTTCTGAGATTCTTTATTACATCTTAATAGTATCTGGAATTATTTTTCCCACTAAATAGAAAATAAAAATAAATCAAACTGAAACAATATATAGAGAGATGAAAAGGGTTTATGATGGAATTCAACACATATTTCTAACAAGTGAATTAGTTTCCAGGCTTACAGCGCAGGCGGAAAAAAACTGCAAGACTTGGAAACAGTGAATGGGTGAGTTAGCAGGCCAGTCTGGTGCATCTGGACTGATGTTTTAATTCTGACAAAGACAGCTTTCAAAGCAAAGCTCCTGATCGTGTCTGCTTACCATGCTTTGCATTACAAGATAGCCTTCAAATGCACAAATAAGACTCCCTCCATATGAAACAGAACTGAAAGATGTGCTCCAGGAGCGCACTCCAACTGCAATATAATGTTCAGTTCACTGAACCAGACTAGAGTTAACGCCCCTCAAACACTCCTCAAAATGCACACATACTGTGCTACTCTAAAGCTCCACATACCAACAGATTCACTTGTATTTTGCTGCACTAGTGAATATAACTACCTTACCATTCAGCCCTATCATCTAGGCATTACATGGCTATATTGTCTACAGTGATCACAAAACAAAGAAAGAAACAACCGGAATCTTTGATGAAGGATGATCAAAACATCTGTTTTAATAATTTGGAACTTCTTACAGTAGAGGGAGATATTTTGAAAAACAATTTGACTACCTAGAGCTATCTCTAGAGTCAACTAATTGCTCTGCAAGCCATTCACAGTGATACAGAACTTGAGTTCATGTTCACGGATAAAATTACTAAGAGGTGAGGCATAGGAGCAGCAGAAAATGCAATTAAGAAAATGAGTAGAAGGACAGGTCATAAAGGCAATCCTCAAAAGACTGAAGGGAAAAGATTCAGGAAACTGAACTCATTAAAGACAGGATTTTTAAGAAGCTCCTAGCTCTGTCATGGGCATTTGACAAGTAAAAAATATGAGAATGGAGTTCATGCAAGTGATCAAGAAGAACCAAAAAAGTTCATGGCAAGAGTCTGTTCTATCAAAAGTAAAGGAGATAATCTGGAGTGGAGAACAAAGTTGAAAGAATGAAACAGGGAACAAAACACAGCTTTCAACTACATGCAACATAGCTGAGAAACAGCAGCTGAGTAAATTTAAATTTAAAACAGAGTAACTGTACCATACGCATTTAAAATGGAATGTATTCCATCTTGTTGCAATACTTCACAATCTTGGTGCAAATGCCAAGACAATTACAGAATACAAAGATTTAACTTGTAATCAGTTATTGATTGACCCTGAATATCTGATTGCCATCACACATTCTACCACATTGTCAAATTCTTGGCAAGATATTAGAAAATAACAAAGTAACTGGGGGCAAAGAAAACCAAAAGCAATACTGTAAGTGACATTATTGCTTCAGTATTCTTGTCCTGAACCACTACAGCAACAATACCTAGAACACTGACAAAACATGCTATAGACTGCTAGGTATAAAGTTTTAGCATGACATAAACTGTAATTGAAGTCATAAGTATATGTAAGCAGCGCTTTAAATACTACGAAACTGTAGATAACTTCCAAATAGTTTTTATGAAAATCTGGATAACTAGCAAATGCAATTTCTATACCCTGCTGTTTCACATCATAAATCTCACTGTCTCTTCTAAGTTCTTTTAAAGCATTAATGTTCCTTGTTAAAAACTGCTGTGCTATAGAAAAGATGTGCATTTTACTGGTTTAAAAGAAAAAAAATTAAACCTCTGTGTCTACAACTTCATAGCATGTTTTACAGTAACTTTGAAGGACTATGTGACCTTCATACTAGTGGGCATAATAAAATTTCTTTTCTAGCAAATAGTTCACAGTAACATACATGGAACAACCTCTTTGGTCTTTTTAAAGTCTTTTCTTGTTCAAAACACTGGTAAATTTCCTACATTATTGGTATATCAAAAGTGACAAACTTCTTTTTACCTTTATATCCCTGGTCTGTTTCCCTGAGATCAATCACAGTAATTGGTTTAAAATTTAAGTCCCACAAGCGAACACAGCCATCCCTGCCACCAGTGGCAAATCCCTCTTCGCATGCATTCATGCTGAAAATTCCTGCCTAAAGAGAGAGGAAAGTTATTTTTAACAATATACAGAGATTAGAGATACCAATATGGAAACTGCAACTCTTGTCCACGATGGTATCGATTGTTTTCCTGTCCTCCTGCCTGTTACGCTGCTGAAAATAGCATAAACATATGCAAATAACACAAGTTTTAAATATGAAAGAGTCAGAAATTGAAACAAACTCAAAATGAAGAGAATTCGCATTCAGTGACAAACAGTAAGATAAGAGAATTGTTGCAATACTGCTTTCATCCTGATGATGATGATTGTAGTGGTGCTGCTTCTTAACCCTAGAAAGAGTTTAGTTTCATATCCTCTTGCCTTAGGGCCTGGTCCAACTCTCAAAAATGTCATCAGGAAGATTTCCACTGATCTTCATTAGGCTTGGTTAGGGCCTTTGTTGGTATTACTCAGTAACCATGCAACCAAGCAAAAAACATTTGGATTTTTTTACATTTTAAGCCAAGGAAGATTGATTTAAAAAGTAAGTTTCGAAGCAAAATATAAGAAAAACAGTGATCATTTTACATCGTTTAAAAATACATAATATAAGCTTTTATTTTAAAGGTGGATATCAGGAAACAAAATCTAACACTTTTTTTTTTTTTTTTACTCACTTGATACATGTTTTCTTCAGGATAATGAAGAGGCAAGCATAATATATCTATTATTAAAATAAAGCTACTGTATCCACATAGCCACTATATTCGATGTAAACATGATACATTATCTAAATAGCACACACAGTCTTTTTTTTTAAAGTACCTACACAACTTGGTAGTCTTATTTTCAGAAGTGGCTCATGCATTTCAGTAAGGAAAGATACTGAAAGGCCAACTTTCACTAATAAGCCTATCAGAAGTTAAAAAAACCTGTTCTATATTTATTGAAAATACTTAATATTCAGCTATGACAAAAGAAAACAGGAAAGCATTAAAAAAATATGGAAGGGAAAATCTGTCTCTGTAACTTCTGCCCAAAAGAAGGCAGAACAGCCAACAACATACATATACCTTCTATATTATTATTCTGAAATCTCAGTTTTGTAAAGAAGTAAATATAAAGTTCCAATAGTTTCTTTGGTTGGGGGTCTGGATTTTACAGTAATGAAGCACATTAACCTCAAAAGTGAAAGCAATTTACAAAGGAGAGATTGGCTTTTAGGGGAAAATAAAGCTGTACGCTTACATAACAAATTAGCATCCAGTGTTGTGGCGCGTGAGAATTCCCAGGTACTCATGACTACTCTCTCCTACCAAGCTGTTATTTCTTCTTATAGTAAAACTAAGGAAAATATCATAATGGACTGATCATAATGAAACATGGACTGTGTTTGCTTCTCTAGCATCATGTAACAAGACTATCATTTTTCAAGTTGAGAAAAAAAGAAATCTCACAGCTTTCGCAAAAAAACCCCGTATTATTACTAGAATGTCAAATGACAATCAAAAGTGAAAGACTAGGGTGACAGAACTCAATTTTTTTGATGTGTCATGTCCATTCTCAGGATACAGACTTTTAAGACAAGCTGTATTTTCAGGAGTAGCATGTGCCTAAACAGAAATGCAGTGGAATTTTTAAGTCATAAGCAGATTAGAAGGTTAACTCCCATGATCTCTAACTTCCTGAAAATCCTCTTTCAGTTTCTTCAGGGGTCTAGAGATTTTTGAAAACAAAATCCAAACTATTTGTTTCTCTGTGTGTGTGTCTGTTTTACTGCATTAACCTTTTAGCATCACTGAGCAAACAAAAGGCTAGAGGAATTTTGGCTCATTTTGTACCATATACTGAATTCTGCCCAAGTTCTGGCATATTTACATCTTTTACAGCTCTTTCTGGAATGCAACCTTGATAATAGAATTATTGTCTTTCCTCTAATTAACTCGTTCTGAAATCCATGATTTAATTAGTCAGTATTAAAAAAAGAATCAGACATTTGGCGATGTGGGAAGCTGGCTGAATGTTCTGAAGATGAGATCAAGTGGATCCAGGATTAATCTGTTTTCCATTTCACAGAATATCCTTATCTTGAAAAGGACATACTGGTTGTCAAGGAGATTTGGCAGATGTTGTGCTTGCTCAATCTCTTGAAATGCAGTAGGACATTCTCATTTCAGTCTATGTGCCACTGGAGCAGAAGAATTAGATGAAAACTAGAAGAAAGTTCCCTTAATTAATGAGGGCTGTAAAGTACCTAATAGAAGAAGCTGAGCTTAGTTACTCTTCAGTTAATTGTTAGGCTCACATGAAATGGGGAAAAGACAGATTCTTTAATCTGGTAGCTTGGCCAGTCATAATTCTTCCACTAAATCCTTCCTTTTAGAAACTGTCAAGATTGTTAATGCAAATAAAACTTGGAGTCTTTATGCTTCTCTTAATCCTTCAGCCTAAAAATGTCATTAACAGAATTTGACTTTTGACGGTCAATAGCCTTCATAGCAGTAATGAGAGGCAAACAATTGCATTTACTTTTATCCAACTGAATAATGTGAGCAACAATGATTGAATGTGCTCCTCAATCAAAATAAAAGGTGTAAATCAAAAGTCTTCCATCTTAGTTACAAAGTTACAAAGTTACAAAGTTTGACACAGGGACTGCATTCTTCTGTTACAAATTTTTCATTACACTTCCTAATGAATGGGAAACTTCAGGAAACAACATCTCAAATCCATCAGCAGTTTCCTCAGAATGCAGAATATTCCCTATTTTTCCAATATAACCATCAAATCTGCGTTCCCTCAAATTTGAAAAAAGAGTTGAATGAGAACAAATGGAGAAATAAATGTGCAGATATAACAGAAATGATAGTTGAAAGCTGGAGAAGTACAAGAACAACATGACAAAGATGCTCTCTACTGCACGAATATTTTGCCACTGCTTGTAACCAAGAAGCTTCCAAGAGTGAGGTAGTCTCAGGTTTTCTATTGCTGCTGGGCCTATCTTGCCTTCAATGGACAAAAATAACAAGCATTAATTTATCTATATGCAGTCATTTATATAAAATCCACCACACTAATTCTGACTATGCAGTTCCTAAAACACATGACTGCAGTTAGCTATAATTAGGACCAAGCTTGAAAGAGCATATAGAAACTTCAGAAGCAATCAACTACTACTCAGCAGCATGGAGAACAGAGATACTATACCAGTTCAGTGAGAACTTCAGTGTCTCCTTTTTACTCCTAGATACAGTTCAGACGCTAATACGTAAAGCAACACATATGCTGGGCACTTATTCTAAGACATTGTCTCTCCCCATATATACTGCATAGCACAGAAATGGATTGCAAACATTTAAGGTTTGTGTCAGTAAGTTTACAGTGGAAAGCTACTACTGTGAAATTTAATCTCCCTATCCAACAAATCACCCATAAAACAATTTAAAAATGGGCATATTACTACAAAAATCTAAAATAGTTGCCTATATACCTCTCATTGGCTGAAATACGTGGACAATTACCTTTCAAATCCATGACTAGTCTAGGCAACAGGAGAAAAATACTGTATGCTTTAATCTGTTGGCACATGATACCAGTTTAAAACCATTCATTTAAGTTCATTATATTGTTTCCATCTATATTTAATTAGTATTCAGCCGACTGACATAGGAGTGCAATAGTTTTAACAGAGTTTCTGTTATTTAACCTCGAGTCTGTTATTTAACCTCAGTTTCTGACATCAATCCACACAACTTTAATGTGTACCTCTGAAAGACTATCTCAAAATAAATTATTCAGCTGCTGAGAAGGCATCTTATGTACATTTACTATGCAAGGCAAAGGCATAGCACACAAGAATCTTTTAAAACATAGTGTTTTTGAATAAGCATATTACTTTGTTTTAACACCTGAGTAACATCTTGTATATATATCTTAATAGTCATGGACTACCTTGAATTTAGAGTATGTAAACTGATAAAATAAATAGAAGACTCTATAGTCTGTTCTTTACGCTGGTACAAAAATAAGATATCTAATAAAAGATTATTTTTTTTCAGTCAAGATATGTATTAACTTTCCAGAATCGGATGCACTGTCTATAAACGACCACCTGAAGTACTACCAGTGCCAACGAACTTACGTATGCTTTTATGTTTCTCTGTTTTCTTTAGCCCTTTTAAAACTTTGATGATCAGTAGTATTATTAAGGAGACCAGCAAAATTAGAATTCGAATTTCCCATTGCTATCCAGCTTACCCTGCACATGAACTCTGTGCTTTTACTCTTAACCCCTGTTAGTTTCCATCTTTTCCTAATTTTCATTTTTACTTCTACATTAAGTGGAGTCTTCAGTCCTCTTCCAAATAATTCTCCAGTCATCCTGACCTATTTGCTTTCAACCTTTTGTTTCTACTCAAACTCAGATGGGAATCTGCTGGAAACTCTTCTTTCCTCTGTCTACAGTTCTTATTATTGCTGTGACAGAAGACAGATAATCTGGCTTTGCTGTGAATTCTTATTTTGCTTGCTAGTTTTAAAGTTGCTATCTGTTTCCTTGTTTGCTTATACTGGGACAGCATGGTTTATTTTTCACATTGAATTACTCTTAAAATAAGAAACATCTTTTCAGCTAGGGTAACTCTAACAAAGGTAGCCAACCTTTGAAAACAACTCATTTTCTATATTAATGCAGACCACTGTCAACTGGATGGACTATATCCCCACATCACTAACGTGCTTTAGAAAATGTTTTCCTGCATCTCAGATACCTACTGTTTATGCTGCAAGAAAGGAATACATGGTACTTTATACAAATAATGACATATGTTTTCCTTGAATAAATTTTCAGTTTAATTAAAGCCTGTTGCAGAGTAACGATGCAGGATGATAAACAGGTATGCTGGGATGACAATTTCATCACTAGCATATTGAACAGAAATTTGTATCAATTCTCTACTATGCGCACACTGTGCTTTTAACATCATATGCACATCACAAATGTTATCATTTACACTTAAATTTTCTTTTAAAAGAATGGACAAGAAGGACATGATTTGTAAAACTAAGTACAAAATAACTGTAAAATACAATGGTAATGGTTTAGTATGGCTGAAGAGGCACTCTTATTCCAAGCTGCTGTATTTTGTGCTTACAATAGCCTAAAATTATTATCCTTTAAGGTAATACTATATTGAAAAACAAGGTTTCATTTTGTTGGAAAGTAAGCTTCCAGAAGAGATTTTATTGGGGTTTGTTTCCCCTGAAATTGGTGAGATTTGTAGTGACTCTAATCTCTTCTGAAAACAAATTCCAAAGCCATGGACTAGTGCCCCTACTTAATTTTCAGTACTGTAAAGTACAATTCCATTGAGCCTAAAGGACAGAGCCAAAAATAGCAGGCCAGATGAGACCTACTTCAAGGTCACCTGAGCTCCATTCACTGACGCTACTAAAGATAAGGAGCAGAACACTTCAATTTGATCTTGTGGTCAACAAAGAACCTACACAGCACATAAGGTAATGGAGCAGCAAGCTCTCATCATCCTATGTTTATCAGTTGGGTCATTTCACAGTGAAACAGCAGAAAAGCACTGCATTACTCTGAGAAGTAAACTGCTGCAATTCTAAATACTCCAAGTAACAAATATGTGAATATACAGGTCAGGTGTCTCCTACAGCACGGAACAGGATGGGAGGGTATTCTCCTGATCATTTTTGGATAGGAGACAACATGCATTCTTTCCTCTGGGAATCCAGGTCTGCATACGCAATATAAGCATTTTAAAAATTTTATTTCACGAACTTCAACATTAAAAAGTAAATGTCCATGTCAACACAGGAAAATACAAAATAGAAACAAACACTACTGAACACTAAATATGAACACTAAAATCAGATCTGAAGGCATAAAGTAAGAATCAAGGAATATTTGAAGGCTAAAATATCCTCTCATACTTCTTGGTTTATAATTTAGGCCTTCTTGAATACATTTAATATTTCTATAGGTGCATGCAGGAGGGTAGGCATGTTGGTGTATACGTATTTTTTAATATACATACACTTATATGTATATAAAGAAACCTCAAATGAAAAATAGTCTAGGATATGTTTCCCATACTTATGTTCTCCATAACTTTATTTTTGTTCATAATCAGATACATGGTCATTATACAGCTGTCTGAACAAGCAATTCAATCTCTTTTAAATTAGTTAATTCAACATGCTGCAACTGTCCTGAATGTACATTTCTAAATCATCGGTAAACCAAGAGGCTCCTTACTACAGCCTGACTGCAACCTCTCCCACATACACATCACTCATCACTTCTTGTCCCCTCCATTCTACCTCATCAAATCATATACAGTGATTTTAATACTTCAGTTACATACATCATCCCACCCGGTCCAATACTGTCAGTTAAAAAAATGCATTCTTATATGAAAGAATAATTAACTGTTATTGATTTTTACCTAGAATTTCAAAGCTGCAAAACAGGAACTCATATGCTTGATTTTTCACACTATTTTAAATTGTTAATAAGGGAACTCCAAATATTATCTGGAAAGTATAATGCTTTCCAAAATGAAAATCAATCTTCAACCAGCAAATAATACAGCTTCATAAAGTTACCTTAGCAGTTTCATGCCTCTTAGCCTAAAACAAGCAGTAATTGATTGGCTTTGTTTTAAAAGTGATACTTGGACAAGTTAGAAGTTGAATCTTGCATTATATTACCGTATATGACTTACTACCATGAGAAGAAATGAAGACTCTCATAGTTTGGCATGCACAAATTAGACTGCAAACCATTAAGTGTTTTTTTGCTGTCTACTTTAACCACAAAATCATATGCTTTGAAAGAACATAGAAAATACAATGAAAACTTAAGTGGTAAAAATATAATCACTATACAACTGCATTAAACGTTTCAATTAAAAGTGAAAGAAAATCTTACCAAGTGCCTTCGAAAAATTTTATTAAACTTTCACTGATACATTTTCACTTTTCAAAGCTGTATAACTGTTCTAAAAAGCAGAATGAATACAGCAAAAGGCAGCAACACAGGACAAGGAAGAGTGATTGAGTCAAGCTCCAATGACTAAACACATGTGTCTACAACAAGCTAGGTGTTCAGGCTTACATTACAGTTCAAAGAATCAATGGACTGTAGAGAGCTATCAGACAATCAGTCAGCAGGACTCAATTCACGGAATGAGAGAATAGCTGATGGGGGAAAACTCTGCAGAGCTCCTAGCCCAAACCCCTGCTCAAGGCAGGGTCAGACAACAGCAGATTGATCAGACCTGTGTCCAGCCATGTTGTGAGTATCTCCAAATGGACAGAGATGTGGATGGAGACTCCACAGAATGTCTGGGGACCTGTTTCTTTGTTTCAACATCAATTGCCTAAATATAGGAGTTCAGGCCTTCTGAGATGTTTTTGGATTAATCAGACATCCACAAAAGAAAGTCAGATAAAGCAGATCCGTATTATTTGGGGGAGGCAGCTATATACTCTACTCCAGTATATAAAATATCATGATATACACCCACACATGGCTAACTGAACAGACTAATACTTCTCCACTTAAGCATAAACTTAAACGTATTCCAGGTTCTATTGATTACTCACGAAGTCCCCCATCAATGATAATGGGAGACAGTACATAAATATACACCTAAATGTACTTCTCAATCTACCCTTCACCTTCTACCATAACAGCAATCTTAAGCAACAGAAAGGAGAGAAAAATAAATATATTCAAATTAGACATCCTGAGTCTCTATCATTACAAACACAGACCAGGTGATCTTGCACTGCCCTTTCCAGCTCTCCAGATATTTATTTAACATTTTATATTAATTTAAAGAGATATACTTACAGCATGTGCTCCCTGTATTGTCCGTACAAGGTTGATTCCTTTCCATACATATATATCTCCATTCAGTGCACCAGAATACGTCACTTCATCCCTTGCACAGGCTAGGCACAATATAGTTTGGAGATCACCAGTTTTGCCAAAAACACCACGTTTTGGTGTCAGTGAATTGCCACACAAGCTCCAGAACTGCAACAAAGTAATTTAGAAAGATGCATAGTTCGCTAATATCCTATAATTTAATATGTACATCTGAAAGAGAAGTACCTTACCTCCAAAAGACATCATCATTCATACCCTTTCCTTTGCTTTAGTTCTCCAGTTGGTTAACAACTTTTCATGTTTTTAACCAACTTTATCCTTCCATAAAATCAGCACAGCAGACTAGCTGGGAAGGAGTTTCGGGGTATCAGCATTAAATCAAACAGAAATTATACTTCGAAAGAATTTCAAAGTCAGTTATATTTTCAGTCATTTTTGAAAAGCGTTTTATGATAGAATCATCTGATCTTTCTTTGACGTAAGACTTCCACTTTGCAAATGCTGCATTTGTACTTTATGTTACTTTAGGCATTTAAAGATGCAATCTAAGCATTTCAATTTCTGATAGGGCTGCCATTTGCTCTGTTTAAAAGCAGCTGGGTTTATTACAGACTTACCACTTCTCATCAGAATCACTGATCATGCAAAGCAACCATCTAAGGCAGATATTTTTGAGAACTTTCTAATAAACCATTAGCATATGATTACAGCAATCACATGAAAGTGAATTTCCTCCTAGGTGATCCAACAGGTACTAATGACTCCTAAAGACATGCAAAGTCTCTTGTCAGAGCACAATACTTCTCAACCAAATCTCCAGCGAAGCTCTAATTTCTGAGATCTCTGGACAAGTAGCACTTGCATATTCCCTTCAAACTCTCCTGTCCAAACATGTAAATGTGCAACCAAAAGTCAAGAAATTGCTGGAGTAATCCAGTGCAAAATCTGAAAGCATTTATTTCATCACTGCTGACAGGTTACTCTTATATTGTCTCAGCATGTTCCCTGTATACATGTTTATGAAACTGTATTTCACAGCAAGGTTCTCTGCTACCAATAATCTATTCAAAATTTTGAGCAGAGACTTCAATTAATACAGGATAATGTAAGCAGTTACAATGAACAGATTTTTGCACTAACAATACTGTAATTAAGAATTAGCCGTATACTGATTAGACAAATGCCTGTATCTTAACTAGTATTTCTTTAACCAAAGTACACAGGTCATAGTTTATGTTGTTGCTTGAGAATTAACTGCACAATCACTGCATAAATCAAACACCTAGCTACAATACGGAAGTAGGTAACATATCTAAGAAAAGTAATTCCTCAACATCAGTTCATTTGGAATTATCTAGGTAACTTGATTAAGTAGTATTACAATTTGCATAACATATCATGTAAGGAAAAAAAACTATAGTATTGCAAACATGAAAGTAATTAGTGATATCTGAAAGAACAAGAAGCAGGGATGGTTTAAGAAAAATACACATCAACAAAAATCTCTTGGCTGATCCAAATGCCTATAAATCTTTAGGATTCAGATTTTTAGTTAATGTTTTCTCAAAGGAAACACTAATTATTTTTAAAATGTTATTGTTATTTTAAAAGGCTTTGTAGAGCCTTAAAGTTGCTCAAATAAACTTTTGCTTATCTAAATAGGTATGTTTTGACATCATAAAGCCACCTTAAATACACTAAATCACTGTTGGTAAATATTAGTTTACTATTGGTGTAATGGTCCTTTTAGATCTTGAATCTTAAGATCATTACTATTCCAGCTCATGGAAATCTGTAAATGACATGCTAACCACTGTGCTAAATCAAAGACATATGCAATCTAGCCCACACATTGAACACTTTTTCCAATAAAACATTAATACATATTAATCTAAAAGTTCATTGTACAAAAAGCAACACGTTTTTCCCACCATAGGAACCCACACATAAGAGCAATACAGAACTTTCAAGCTGCCATCTACTGCTGTTATGTGGTAACACAGAACACAGTGCATGGAACAAGGCAGTGACTTTAGAAAACATATTTGATGGCAGTCAAGCATTGATAATCCTGCTGACAGAGTTAAATCTGAAAACGAAGCTGTTTCTGCACGGCAGTTGGTACATGGATCAAATATAATGACATGAATTGTCCAAATTATGAATCCTGTAACAGCTACAGAGTGCTTAAAATGACAGACATAGGAATAACAGCAGGGAAAAGAAAAGAATTAGAAAGATCAAGTGTTTTCCTTTCTCTTTCCACTGTATCCACATACTCTCTCAAACTGTAAGAAATGGGTTTTCAACTGATTTCATCTCTGCAGTGTAACAATTATTAATTGTTCAAGAATCAGAGACTCAAGTACCTGGACTGACCTTAAACGAGTTCATCCTGTCTTATGCTACTTGGGATTTCAAACAGTATGCTTTAAACAACCTAAATTTTAAATTACATTATGATCATCGCATACGATGCTACTGACATTGACAATGATGCTTCATTCCTTCTGCATTCCTTCTGTCAGGGTATGAACTCTTTTGAGCAGAGATGGTCTGTTTTCCACTATATATGTATCTTGTAAAATGTCTGCTGTAGTCAAGTGTGATCCATGATTGCAGTTCCTAAGAAGTAGTATTATTCTCACAGAGGACCTTTGATATTATAATTACTTATTCCTTTTAGATTCTATTTGTCTATATTTTATGGAGTATAAACTACTGCAGCTTAAATATTCTATGAATTAATATTTATTTCATTACCTTGATGTGTTTTACGCCACAGCTGACGAGCTTGTTTGGCTGGTACAAATCCCAAGAAATATCAAATATCTGCATAAAAAAAAAAAACAAGGATGTCAGCAGAGATGACCTTTCTAGCATGGGACAGTTAAAACAGTAAAAACTTGGAGCAAGTCAACGGACAGTCTGAAATGCTTTAAATGAAACTACTGGAATGACTTTTTTATCCTCTCATTCAATATTGAAATTGCAATGTATAGCTCTTATTAGTTCTGTTTAGTTTTTTTCCTAGAGTAATTACAACACGTTATAAAACAACATTAAGGTTCATTTACAGACTGGAAAAAATTAAGCATTTATTTGCATTTTGATTTCCCATATGGGGATTAGGGTCTAAGAAGTACATTAATTTTGCACTTCCTCTACATGCTTATAGTCTCTACAAACCATACACAAATAAATGGTGAGTTACATGTTTTACTTTAGAAATAAATGTATATATCTTAAATATCTTCACATATGTTAATACATACCGAAGCTTTATGGAAATTCAATTTCTAAATTATAAAATGTTTTTTGTTCAGACAGAGCTCTAGTATGTATACACAGACATGGTTTAATGAACTAAAATTACATTGACACTCAAATTCTTTAGTTATACTTACTCTGTCTGTATGACCAGGAGCCATTGATAACAATTTTCCTTTTCTCCAGTCCCATACACAAACTGTGTTTTTCGAATCCAAACCAACTGATACCAAACGCTAAAAATGTCCAAATTAAATAAATAAATAAAAATAACTCAATATATTAACGAAAGCTAGAGTCACCATTTTGAATGATAACAAATTCATAACATATCTGAGTTAAAAGTAATAGCTAAATTTCAATACAGAAGAAAACTAAAGATACAACACCTTATGCCAAAGCTTCCATAGATGCATCTCCAGGTATGATATCATGATCATAAAGAAGTAAGAGCTTCACAGACAACAACATCTTTCTGACTGATAATGTTTAATATATATAATTATATATAGCACATATGGCAAGCAGCAGCCAGGAGACATTTGCAAAAAGGAATAATCTCACTGAAGTTAATGAAAATACATGTGTTTACTTTTAATTACATATAACTTGCAGAATTTAAGTATTTATTCTACAAGTTCAGGAGTTATAAAGAAAAAATATTTTCTTCAATCTTCCTGGAAACAAACAAAAGATTAAAAACAGTTAAAAGTTTTGAGTCTTTTGCTTGATTCTTCAAAACATGCATGAGTAACTATTCCTTTCTGAACCCTTTCCAAACCGGAATCCAACAAGACCCCAAATGTACAAACTTCATGAAGTCTTTAATCTTCACAAAGAGTCTGAAGCCAGTTAAACTGTAAAATCAAGAAGGATAAAAAGATTGTTCCAAGAAAATACAGAAAAATAAAGTTTGAGATCTTCCTATGCTCTGCAGTCTGTCCTTGTCTTCAACTGTGAAGATATTTTGCACAGATTTCTTGACACAAATCACTGACCATATTAGCCAACAGTCTACTTTTACTGTATCTGCTAGCCAGTCAAACTGTTATTTTTCCTATAGAAATTCTCAACAGAAAGACAAACAGTATTAAAGATTGGATAAAAAGAAAATGAGTGATTTTAAGTTTTGGTTTTACAGAAAATTAAGTCTTTTTGTTCAGTTTATGCAAGAATTTTGCCATCTTAATTTTGATAAATGAAAGTTTTGCAAATCTTTAAGACAAAGTTTTTCTCACTGTTCAGCAGTTAATACCTACACGCATTAAAGACAAATTTAGTTTCAATTTTATGTAGATTATCAAAGCGAGTTTGTAAAAGCAAAAGCAAACCCCAAACTTAACTACATTTTTTCGCAAAGATAGAAACCTATTCCCAATAACATCATTTCTTTACTGTCTGAAAAGCTCCAAGATTATAAGAAGAAAAAAAACAAGCTAAATACAATTGCTATCCATGCTCCCTATTTATTAATGCCAACTTCAATTTTTCAGATACTGCAAAGTCCAACCTTTCTATTCCATCTCTGAAAACATTCTCAGATGGAACATCAGTTTCAATTCCAGCTACACTCCCAAGCAGTTCAACTCCAGTCCTACTGTAGAATGAGAGGCATAAATGCAGACTAGTTTTACAATTACTGCATACCCATCACAAAAAATTTTGGTGATGCCTTTCCAGACATAAGCCGATACACTGACTTCTCAAAAAGAGAGATTAAATTATGTTCTCAGTTCTCCTAACAACCAGAAAATCTTGTTACCAACCAGCAGATCCCCACAGTGGAGCAGAACTCAAAGAAAAGCAAAAAACTAGCGAGCTCGAGGAATAACTTACCATAAAGCAAAGAGAACTTCTCTCAACACCAGGGAGACCAGAGGGTAACCTTGGTTTTAGATAACACAGCTGCACCAGTGAATCATTAGATTCCCTAACACAATTAACAAAGAATAATAATAATAAAAAAAAAAATAATGTGTTCCTGAGCTAGTCAGACTAGTTGTGGGTGGGGAGGAGAGTGTACATGTGGCACAGCCCAACATGAAGTATAAAAACTGAACAACTAATAAAACAAGATCCACTTCAATCTATATATTCTTTCCTGGTGACTGGAGATGCCCAGCATCATGACAGTGATCATACAGACACCAGTAGTAGGAACCACATTTTTCCTGTGATTCATCTGTACATTGTAATTGCTTATGTTGTGATTTCAGCACATTGTTGTATCACTCTACTAAACCAAAATCCCATATAATGCTAAATATATCAAATAAGTATGCTAAATACCAAATATTAAACCATATTAAAGAACCTGGTCAGGGATTCTGACAAATTCAGATTTAAAAGGATGGGCAAGATGTAAACAAACATATTTTGCAGATCTTTCTGCACTGGATTTGTGTTTTACTGTATTTCCATACAGAGACAATTCTGGAAACGAAATCTTGAAAAACCTGTATCCACAAAGTTCTAACAAATGCAATGAAAAACATGACCATACAGAAATGTTGAGAAAAGCAGACAGCCTAAATTCTGACCATTTACGGCTTTAAACATAAGAATCAGTACTGGGTACTTTTAGAACAAATCACAGATCTCCATTCAGATCTCTCCAATATATACAAGGGATGCCTAACTGCATTCTACAAAAGAGACAGGAGACTTCAATCCTAATTAGATACATTTCGACCTTAAATTATTAAGGCTGTTCAAGTGAGGAAGTGACATGAGTTTACACAGGCAAGAACAACATAGCGAAATGGTATCATTGTCAAGTAGAAATGATGTTCTAGAAAAAAGCTGACTCTAGAAGTTGACTCCCTAAACAAAATGAAATCTAAATGATAAAACCTGTAGATCATTCCAACAAACACAAAACCTCCCTACAACAATTACAGCATATTTTAACAGAAATAAGTTACAGCTAGGCTTTCCTCTATTTGTGTTCAATAGAGCTCCATTTGACATTGTCTTAATAAGGACAGCAACTGGTGTCTACAATACATCCTCACTTAAGAAAGCAGTAAGTAAGGATATTGGCCTTTATAGCAAGCAAAAGGAACTAAGAATATAGCTAAATCTGAATATCACATTGCAAGGCCAAGTGGGAGGGGAAGAAGTGCTGCATAAGACCAGGAGAGCATAACTGCAGAAAGGGTTTTCATGGCTAATATCTCTTCAGCGGCTACCTAATGTGTATTTTCCATTTCTAATACATCAACCAAGAAAGCCTCTTTACTCACAGGAGTAAGTGTCTGGCAAAAATTATCTCCCTTGTAATTAGCAGCTCTGAGAACCAATTTACTACTCAGAGAAAGTTTTAAAGTAACAAAATCATAATCCAGTAAAGCCTGTTTCTTTTCCTGTAGATCCAGACATGAATCTGAACAGCCAATCAAAATGTGGAGAGTCGTCAATGCATGCAAAAAGGGGATACTGCCTGAAGACATTTGGAATCCAAGATGAGCAACACAACAGGACTGTCATCACAAGAGGTGCACAAGACACACCCCTACACAGTGAAGGTCCACCATCTCCAGTCATTTGGTGTAACCCTGAACTGTGGCCCACAGAGCACAAGAATCTCCTTATCACCTCATCTTCATTCAAAACTCTTTTGAAGTTACACTTCTCTTGCCAAATGTGAATATTTGTCAGTCACTACTAATGCCAACTTTTTTTCTCAACTTGAGAATAAGCAGATAAAATAATACACTTCCTTAAAAAAAGAAAAAGCTACATAACAAGATTTCTGACAGATAAACAATGAAGTGTTTGAAAAAAGAATATTAATTACATACCTGACCATCTAAATCAAAAGCCAAGCAAGCTATACCATGTGTGTGAACATCTTTCAGAACAGATACAGTTTGCACAGTGTATGAGTCCCACACACAGATGTATGGTTCTTTTCCAACTTGACCTGTTGCCACCAACACACGTTCAGGATGCAAAGCAAGGCTGCCAAAGAAACAGATAAAAATATTTTTGCATGAAACTTTTACATTTGCCTAGTTGACTGCATTAATATTTTTCCTTAAAAATGATTTTACAATATTTTCCCATTTAGAGTAGATATTAAGTAATTTTGTATCACAGATTCCACAATAGCTGTAAAATTCCCTTAATACAGTAAATGCCACCACCTTTCTTGAATTTGAACCTTCAAGTCTTCTCCAATTAAATTAATTGCAGAATAGTCATTAATCCTCTGTTCCAAAATACGGAGTTTATTAAATTAGGTCAGACTTTTATGCACTAAAAACTGTTTTCTCTTTCTTTCTATTTCTTAACATTTAAAAACACAAAGGATGGACAACAGAAGTTAGTGTTTAGCTATCTACACATCTATCGTCAATGGAGAGAGGGATGCATCTCCAGAGGTACTTCATTCCACATACTATTTGATGTCCCTTTTATGAGAGAATTTAATAGCCTTCTGAAGCTATCTCTCTGCTGATCATATAGCAAGCCAAAGAATGGCTAGCTTAGACTAGATGACTAGATTTCAGATGACTAAACTGAAGTGAGATGAAGATTATCTTACATGTCTTGATTTCAATACAGAACAATTGGGAATAGTTGATTTTGAATAACTATTAACTTCTCACATTTTTAACACTGCAGACAATTTTCCTATAGTTTGTATTTCAGAGTCTTTTAAAGTCCACAGAGGATCGTCACAACTGTTTTGTCAAATCTGGGACCAAGCTAGAAAGCATGCTCGTCAGCAAGAGAGTTTTTTTGTTTTGTTTATGCAAGTAAGCTGCAAGGGAGGACACGAGGTCTGAAGATTCATAATACAGAAAAGTAAGAACATATTCTAATAGAAATCCAAACAAGCTCCTTGGTGACACTCTACACAGACTAAGTACAGCTGTCCAAAATGATACGAGAAATACCACATGTAAGTCAGGAAGATAAATTTTAAAAGTTGGCTATCTAATTTGGCTAAAAAATTGCCTCCTCTAACTAATCATAATGACCTCGAGAGACTGGTGGACAGAACCGCTAACAACATATACTAAATGTATTTATCTTTTCAACATCACTTGGAAAGGAGAAAGGATGAGCACTTTACAACAGTAAGATAATCTTACACCTGAACATAGATTTTGATAAACAAAGTTCAAAGGGTGGAGACAACAGGAGTCTATAAACATAGAAGAAATATAGCCAGGATAAAGCTAATCAGCAAATGATCAGGAAAAAAGATCTAACTCAAAACATGTATACATTTCCTATATACAAAAAGAGCAAGAGAAAACTATGTTAGAAGTTGCTTAATATTGCTTGACAAATTCCACATGCATAATTCTGAGAGGAATCTTTAACTTCAAAGTTTCTACAAAAGGTAAAAAGCCTCTGGATCTTTCAACTTTTTAATGGGAATTCCTCTTTTTTGCTACTCCACATTATCCTCAGCACCAGGATCAAGCAACCAAGATTTCCCCACTCCGCTTCTCCAATTCCAGAGTTATTTCTCTGGTTCTTCCCTTCCTTCTTTATTTGACAGAGCAACTTCATAATTAAAAAACAATGCAGAAAGAAGCTGGCAGGCAAAACTTATCACATTTCACTTCAGTTCTGCCACCCAATCCCAATCTGACCAACACCTGCACATCTCCCAGAGCACACACAGGCAGATGGTGTACACATGGGGGAAAAGGAAAAGCATCTGGAGGGGGAGAAAATGCTGCATTTGAAATGATCTAATTTTTACAGTAAGATAAGACCACATAGACAATAAAGAAATTCAAGAAGAGAAAGGAAGTGAAAAGAATAAGCAAGAAAAAAAGACAGAAACTGAAACTAAGAAAAAAAGTAAAAACACAGCAGTCTTATGACTGATTCATGATCTCTTCAATCCCGTACTTAGCTCTGCTATTAGTGCATGGTGCAGTTTCAGGCAAGCAAAAACCACCCCACAAGTGCAACTTTGAAAAATGCTCAGGCATCACCCTGGACACACACATGCAAAAGCATCCCCACACCACACCTTACAAAACACTTTGCAGCAACCAAAAATTAGCATAACATGTTTTTAACTAAAGACCAGAAGCAACAAACACAACACATCAGAGGCGGAAAGGACAACGGTAAAGGTACTATCAAGGGCCAGGAAAACATTGTCCTAGCCCAAGTGTGCCAAATAATTCCACTCGAAGCGTATTAGATGAATATATAGAATGTTTCCTCTCTTTCCAATTAATAAATGGTAAATAATAACTAAGAGCAACATCACTGTATTAGTTCTTTCTATATCATGATATAAAATACTGGCTTAAACAACTTAGCTCAAATTCTGCCTTGATATGGGATACTGCAGCACAAATGAAGATCCAAAGCCTGTATTTTAATCACAGCAGACAACACTGCAGAATTACCAATGTCCTACCCCTAGCACTTCAGTCTCTATAGTAAATCGCTAACAACCTTTCTAGACAGTCATTGAAAACAGAAGAAAATAAATATTCAATAAATATTTTAAAACAGCAAGCCTTTTTTAAAAAATGCCAATATGCAGGGATTTCAGCAGAGCTGTTGGCAGTGGTTGAAGAAATACTCACCTGAAAACAGCTTCCCTCATCATTTCTTCCAGACCAAGAAGTGAAGGATAGGTTGAAGTACTACTTTTAATTATTTTCTCTCACTGGCTACCAGAACAGATGGAAAGGGGAGTATGGAAAGAGTCAAGGGACTGCTATTTCTATTACCAACACTAAGAAAATGAACTGCCACACTTTTTTACGTGATTTTCATATGAACCATCAATGATAAGAAGATGCTTTTCCTTAATATTAAAGTCTTAGCTGTTATTACACCCATGGGTCACGACACAGAATTCCGGGTGTGAAATTTTGAGTCCTGATGAAAACTCAAGGATTAGACTCCAGTTGTAAGTAACATGAAGACCTTTTTCAAATTTTTCATTAGACTATAAGTGATTAAGCAATCTATACAGGCATAGCAACTAATACAAAAATATACTATCTTAGTCTAACCTCTAGAGTAAAAGCACTGATACAACTCACGTATTCAGGAACTTTCATTATTGAAACAGTCCTGAGCAACGCATTGTAAATAGCTTCTTAGTGCAGAAAGAAAAAATATAACCAGAACGGGTGCCTGGAAATGGATAACCATAAACATTTGCTATATAGGGACTATGCTGACTCATGGGCATGATGCAGTTAACAGGATCAAACAATGAGTGTGAGTTGTCTCTGGACACTCCTGGTAAGATCTCTGAGACACTTCTACAGAGGTGTTAATAGTGTGCAACTATTGGGACGGCATTTGAAGCAGTTCCTTACTATCCATCCAACTAGTCCCTGAAGACAGGCAGAAAAGTATGAGTGTGGCTCAGCTCTTAGATAGCTTCCAAATCTGTTGGTGTGGGCTCTGTGGCCTTAAGTACACTGACCCTCTCACATGGATTTTCTTACATTTTTTTCTGCTAGGGAGAAGGAGGAGATTGCTTGATGGAATGAGCAGCTCTGCACTCAGAAACAGAGAACTCTTGTTCCTTTTCCTGCCCTGGTAATGAAAACTGGGATGACCTATCCAGGTGAGACTGCTGAAACTGTGCTTGCATCTAGCCCACACAGCTAGACTGCAAACTTGTGCCTGATTTCTCTCCTCTTCCTTGAAAGATGACTAAGCTGATGAATGAGATATCACTGCTTGTCCAAAAAAAGGAAACAGTATTACTAATGAGACAAGTTCTTCAGGCCTTCTTGCTTGCTTCTGTCCTTTCTAACCTGGGCTTTCCAAGAATAGATGTTAGATCTAAAGTAGTGTCTCTGAAGAGGCAGATAGGAAGGAAAATGTCCAAAAGACAAATGTGACCATGAAACAAAGCAGGAATTAGGCTAACAAACTGCTAACTCAAATTAATTTTTAAATTAGCTATAAAATATTGTACTTCTCAGAAGAGTTCAGAAGTAGAAAATCCAAAAAATCTGCCTGTCACTATTGCAACAAAACAAAATAACCAGACCTGTAGAGAACCAAGATTTCCACTGATACCTCTGACAGGTCTTTTCCTAGACAGATATTCAAAGTAGGCTGAAATACAGTATTACAATTTTAACAGTATACTGAAAAATTTAGTGCATTCAAGCTCCTCTTTTATACTTCATACAGAAAAGGTTCTTTCTCCCTTTTAGAGCAGCATGTAAGCATTTCGACCATTTTGAACAGATCCATGCACTATACAATACCTATGTTAGATTAATGATGTTAAATATTAATGGCAGTCTATGGAAAAAAAAAGTATAAAACCTGTCCATACTATGTCTGTTTGGGATGAGACCAGAGCCACGGACATGACCCTTCAATTTGCATGAGGTTTGTAGTGGCACGGGATCCTGAAGGAGAATAGCTTATAATAAAACACATTATTACAAAAGAAATCAAGATTTTTTTCATCTTTACTTGGTTTGTGATGAGCATTAACAGGCATTGATTAATACAGACAAGCTGCAGACAAGGATACAGTATTAAAGACGATGTTTCCTTAGCAACAATATCAGATGAAAATCCAAGAATATATTCATGTGACTATTCCTGAGCTTCGTAAAACTAGGGCACCAGTAAAAATGCACAAAATAATACTGCAGTAAAATAACAGCATCTCAAGTATCTATTAATCAAGAGTTAATTTCAAGTGTGAATTTTTTTCTATGAGTAAATACAGAAAAATACTTTCATTGTATGTTTACAGGCATTTTACATATAGTTGCAGATATTTTCTTATTTGCTGCCATTTATCCCTATTTCCCCAGAAAGAGTAACAGGAGAAACTACAAACCATTTCTGTCATACTATTTAAGTTGTTAAAGCAGAAAGAGCTGTATCAGCAAACATTTCTCTTCAAAGTTTAAACAGATGTAGTCAGAGTACACTTACTTCCCATAGACAAAACAAAGCAGTACTCTCATGGAGCATCATGACTG